CGACGTGGATCCCAGGCTCACGGTCCCCCTTGATCTCCAACATGATGAACAGATCAAGGAATTCTTCCGAGGCGGGGGTGAGCATACGCTCGAGCAGCTCCTCGCGTTGGCGCGGCGCCGGAGGCGCGCGTTCGTCTACCAGGCTGCGATTTTGTCGAACAGGCCAGTGTTTGAAATCTGGCCCGATTACGATGAAAACGAGCTGGGACCGACACCCGAGCGCGTTCCGCTCCTCACAGGCAAGGTCTGGCCTTGGGGCTGGTGGGATTGCTTTACTTGTGGGCGTGCGAACCCACCAGAACGCAATACCTGCCGGCACCATGATTCCGAGGAGCTCGGAGGTGCCCCCTGTGTGGGGATCTTCGAGGACAGCCTGTACTGGAGCACGCCGGGGGACCTGCGAACGGCGCCGGCGTGGTTCATCGAGGTCTGGCTCGATGAACATAAGGAACGCATAAAGGAGTACCTTTATGCGAAGCGTTCGGACGCGAGCGCCGCCGCAATGTCCAACGCCTACTGGACCTGTGGGCGGGACACATGCCAAGAGAGGAACATGTTATGGCGCAAACTGTGCTTTAAGTGCAGTGGCCCTAAGTCGGGCGCGTCGTTCATAACCCACGGCATGCCGCCCCAGGAAGGCGACGATGAAGCTGCTTCTTCGTCGGAAGAGAGCGAGGGCACGAAGATGGAAAGGATCGAGCGTTCCATCAACGCCGATCCCCTTGCGGAGCATGCGAGGAAATTCCTCCGCTCCGGACGGAAGAGGCTCCGCGCTGAAAAGCGCAGGCAGGCAGAGCTCTCTCAAGACTCTGCCCGAGGCTGGTGGAGCCAACCTTCCTCCGGGCGCGGTGCACCCAGTGGGGGCCGCAGCTCTGGCAGCAAGGGTGGTGGCAAAGGTGGTGGAAGGGGAAGCTCGAACCGCTACGGCAACCGAGGATGGTGGGCCGGAGGTGCTGCCGGACTGGCATACTCCTCCCGACTCGGCGGGCGTGCTGGGCAGCCCGCCCTCACGCTCCCACTGCGTGGCCCGGGTGGCCACAGAGTGGCGCCCGAGGCCCCTGCCGTTTCTTCTCGCCCCGCTGTCTCTTCCGGGCCCTCGAACCGTGGTGGGTTCCGTGGGGCCGTGCGCTCGATAGGCGCTGCGGTCTCCAGCTGGGCTCTCTCCAGGAGAGCGCGCAATCGCGCAGCCCACGCCACAACGGGCAACATTGGATGGAAGATGGGTTTGGTGGCCGCTGCGCTGGCGCCTACCCTCTTCACTGTTGAGCGCGGTGCCAGAGAGGTGGCACACGTGGGCCTCACTGCAGTTGCCACTGCGGCGGAGGACCTCATCGAGGAATCCTCTGGTATCCTCGTTCGGGGTGTCCGCGTGGTTGGCTTGACGGCCGTCGTCCTACTGTGGACGTTCGCGGCCGTAGTGCTGTGGTGGGCCGGACGTGTCGCCACTAACCGGCTAATGCACGCCATGAACGGTAACCCCTTTGGGAAGGCTGTTCTGGTGTCGCTCGAAGGCCGGGAGGCTGTCTTTGAGGTTGCATCAAAGACTAAGGCCGGAGCACACAGGGTTCTTGTGAAGGTCGGGTCGGGCGCGGACGGCGCAGGCTGCGACTGCAAGGCATTCCTCAACGAGGGACGTTGTGGTCACATAGAACGCGCTGTTGAAGCTGCGGGGCAACTCGTTGCCATGACAGGCGCGAGCGCTGCCCCAACGCTGTCCGTCGCCCCGGCCGCGACTAGACGCGCCCGTGCGATCCTCGGCGCGCCGGCCCTGGAACAGGGGCGCCTTGCCGGCATGGTGTCGAAAGCGAGATCGCTCTCTGAAAGAGCTCGGAATGTCGGGAACCCGTCCGAGGGTTGCCTTGACGGCTTTACCAAGCTCAGAGGCCGCCACGAGGTGGCCACAGTGTCGGCGCCTCCGACAGAGACTGTTCCGAAGACGCCTGCAGCGGAGGCTTCCCGCCAGGGGACCTCTGCGGCGTCTCCGGCTCCGACAGCTCCCATGTCGAGCCAGGCACGGCGTGTCAGAGACTTCCCGATCCCTGACGGCTTCGAGCGAGCCGGGGTCAAGTTTCTGACCCTTCCGGAGTATCACGCTGTGGTACAAACGATGCTATCGGACGCTTGGCATGGGGACCACGTTTACGTGCGAGCCTACAGCTTCGATAGCAAGCCTTTGGTTGGAGCCCTCGTGTCCTCGCTGGAGCGAGGCGCCCGAGCCCACGTGCTTGCCGACAACTCGCAGACGAGCCGGACCAAGCTCCAGCTGCAGTCCCTCAAGGAGCTAGGGGCGGCTGGCGTCCAGGGCCGTGTCGGCAAGGGCACCTCGGTCAAGGCGGCTTACGCCGCCGAGAACCGCACGGACGTGAGCATCGGCGCAGGCCTCGCGGGCATCCACCACGCCAAGACGGTGCTCGTGACGAGGCCGGACTCCACAGTTAGCGCCGTGATAGGAAGCCTAAACTTTAGTGCTAGTTCACGGGCCAACGCGGAGGTCGGCATTGCGGTCGCCAGTGTGCTGACCTCTGAATTTAGCCAAAAGTGGCTAGATTCGTTTGGCACCGAGTGGTCCAAGGCGCTGAAGCTCGAGGAGTTCGAAGCACCTCAGCGGCACCACCGCGGGCGGGCAAAACCCTCAAATGTCCAGCAGCCCGCCGCGCAACCCAACGTGGAGCCGCAGTGACCGTGGACTAGAAGTCGCGGACTGCGCTCCGCCCTTCTAGCCACCTGTGGCAACTTCAGTTTTGGTCGCAGCACCTAGCTGCTTTCCGATGAGACGACAGTGTGGCGTATCCGCTCTACAGGTCTTTGACGGGAGCGGCTAGGGAGGCACGGTAGTGCTCCCGAAGCGCGTGGAGTAACGCCGCAGCTTCAGCTGCTCGGTTCACCAGCCCTGTGGCCGCAGTGCGGCGCAGGCTGTGTACAGTAGGAAACCAGAGCCTCGTGCAGCACAGGCCGTGAAAAACGAAGGTCTTGTGCTGAGTGCGAAGGGTTTGTAGGAGGGCAGGGTCTGTAGGTCCGTTTTACGGCCTCCGGCCGCCCGCGGAATCCTACGGCTCTATCGTGCTCTCGGCTGAGGGGCGAATGTAACTGTACATAGTCTGCGGGCTGGCTGTTGTGCTGTATGCTTTTATGCATGCTCTTCTGTAATTCCTATTCATAACATTTTTGGCTCAAGTGAGCACGGCAGTGTGTCGTTGGTAGCTTCTCGTTGCCGCGACGCAATTGCGCGCAGCCCGTCCTGGGCGGACGTTCGACCTGTCACGGTCGTTGGACTTTCTGCTTGGACGGAAAACGAGGGTGCGTGCTGCCCCTTTGGGTTTCCGTTCTCCACAAGTAGTAGTCGTAGTAGTAGTAGTAGTAGTATAGTAGTAAGGTCAAGGCGGTCAAGGTCTATAGCACCCTCCTTTGGAGGACACTAATTATCGCATTTTGCTTTTTGCGAAACCGTGGAAAACGATTTTGCACCTATATTTTCTGCGCTAGTCCTTTTTTCTCCTTTGTCGTTTGCACAATCCCGTGTAATGCCAAGCGAGTGCCAGTTTACCTTGACACATCACTATTAGACCTGTAGACTCTCTAGACTCTCCATGCTCTACACCTGACACCCTAACTCCGAGCTCTGCACACAGACTCTCTAGACTCTAAACTCTAAACTCTAAACACTAAAGTCGTTGTCGCAGTAGTAGTAGTAGTGGTAGTAGTGTAGTAGTAGCAGTAGTAGTAGTAGTAGCAGTAGTAGGAGGAGGAGTAGTTAGTAAGTTAGTAGTAGTAGTAGTAGTAGTAGTAGTAGTAGTAGTAGTAGTAGTAGTAGTAGTAGTAGTAGTCGTAGTATAGTAGTAGTAGTAGTAGTAGTAGTAGTAGTAGTAGTAGTAGTAGTAGTAGTAGTAGTAGTAGTAGTAGTAGTAGTAGTAGTAGTAGTAGTAGTAGTAGTAGTAGTAGTAGTAGTAGTTTAGTAGTAGTACAAGTAGTGGTAGTCTTCGTAGTAGTGGTGGTGGTAGTAGTAGTAGTAGCCGGAGTAGTAGCAGGATTAGTAGCAGTAGTAGCAGGAGTAGTAGCAGGAGTAGTAGCAGGAGTAGTAGCAGGAGTAGCAGTAGCAGTAGCAGTAGGAGTAGGAGTAGTAGTAGTAGTAGTAGTAGTAGTAGTCGTCGTCGTCATCGTCGTAGGGGTAGGAGTAGTGGATCTGTGCCGACCTGCACGAATCGCTCTTGGTCTGCTTGGAAGCGGGCGCGGCGCTGCGCCAGCGTCTCCTGGCTGCAAGTGAGGTCTGAAACCGGGACAATATTTCAGGAGGGTGCAGATCCCAGCTCCTCCTCGGGCTCTTTCTCCTCCTCCTCCTCCGGGCCATCGAAGTCTTTGCCGAGATGCTGCAACTGGCCAGGGCTTCGAAGTCGTTCTCTAAATTCAAACATGACCGATCTTCCCTCGGCGCCTCAGCGAACCAGTTGTTGGATCCATCTCCGTCTACCATGGCGTATAACGGTTCGTAGCCGAGTCTGTAAAGCTTTAGCTTACGCGATTAATTAAGCTTTTGGGGCACCAGGAAACTCTGCAGGTAGTTGTCCTCATGCCTGCCGTGACTATCCTAGATGTTCACTCGAGTGTGCGAGGCTTGAGTCGTTCTGGCTGAAGGCTTGCCGTGTTCACGCTTCCAGTGATCCTCATGACCGGAGTAAGTCTCACTGCATCGTGTTGCTGCAGCCATGACCCCCGTGTTTGCTTCCGCACTGGGATGTGGGTCATGAAACATGGTAGCTGCAGGTTCAAAGTGACCGAGCGTAGTTGTTTAGGGGAGGCTCGAGCGCTCAAACCCCGGTCCTCTCGAGCATCGGAGAAGGCGGCGATATGGTGGCAGGCGACGTGGCAGGCGACAGCCCCAACCCTACATCAACACCTAGGCCTAGGCCCTAGACCAAACTTGAACCACCCCAGCAACCCATCCCCCCCGAAGCGAAAGGAAACAAGCCATACTTCTTTGGGGCTCCGTTCTTCCCCTGGGTCGCCTAGCTGACGTCGACGTCGATGTCTTCGTGGCCGCGGCCGAAGGCCACCGCTAGGAGCTCCTGGGAGTCCCTGGCCGAGGGTTCTTTAGGGGGATATAGGGCTTTGAGATTGTAATTAGGTTTTTGTTTGGGTTTATTGTCTCGGAGCTTGGCAAGTTAGTTTAGGGATCCCATTTCAAGGGATTCTAGTCTTAGAGGGGTCTGAGTCTTAGATGGTATGGCTGGGGCCAGGGTTGCAGATTTGTAGCCCTGTCAGCTTGGATTCCAGCTCGTTTAGTGGTTTACGGATTTTGGGGGGCCGTGAGAGTCTACGTTTCGTGTCAAACCTGGTAACCTTTCTCGCAAGAGTGGAAACCAAAGCGGAAACGAGGACAACAACCAAAACACAAACATTAACAATAACGCACACAAGAACAAGAATCAAGAAGAACAAAAACAGTAACAGCAACAACAGCAGCAGCAACAACAACTACCACCAGTAGCGGCAGAATAATTCCGAATAAAACAAACGATAAAAGCCGATGGACCATCGTGAAACCATAGGATACTCTGACACTGGCACGCATGCCTGCTTACGTACGTACATACATGCAGTTACATGCTATATACAGACAGACATACATACATTCGTGCACACATTCATTCATTCATTCAATTCATTCATTCAATTCATTCATTCAATTCATTCATTCAGTTCATTCATTCAATTCATTCATTCAATTCATTCATTCAATTCATTCATTCATTCATTCATGAATTCATTCATTCATGCACACATTCATTCATTCATGCACGCATGCATGCATGCGTACATTAAATCAATATACGAACATACACATACACATACATATACATACATACATACATACATACATACATACATACATACATGCATGCATGCATGCATGCATGCATGCATGCATGCATACCCACATATGTATGTGTGTAAGTCGAAATCCGCTGCCATGGAAGAAGACCTTTCGAACGGGCTGCAATCTTGAAAGTCCCTGCCTGTCGCCGGCTTCGGCTGCAACCGTGGCCCACCGCACACCTCAACATGGTTGCAAGTTGCTTTAAAATATTCACCAACATGCCGGGCTTTACGGCCTTGAGTCTAAGAGAATCTAAGCCTTAGGATTACATGGGTTTTGGGGCTCAGGGTTATTCAGGTTTTCTGCCGGCAGGATATATAGCTGTGCAGCAGCATACGTCAAAAGTCGCTGTAAGTTAGATTGCCTCTTGAACCCTATCGGCAATCTAATTGGGGCCCTTAGGCCAAGAGCGATTCTCCGCGGCTGGCACATCGGATCGAATACGGCTTGAGACAGAGATTCCAGCCCTCGAAGCAAACAAATGCCGTAACCTCACGCTTACGTTCGTAACTCCCAAAGCTCCTAAAACTGATGTTGCCGCATTGCGATTCAAGTCCTACTTGCATCTCTGTGTGGCTGTGTGTGAGTTATGCTTTGCGCGTATGATTTTGTGTGTTGGGTCATGCATGCCCTCGGTGCCTGTGTGAACGTCCTTCCTCACACCGTTGGCGCCATAGAAATAGTCCTGGACAGGGATGTGTCCACGCTTTCCATGAGAGGAAATTGCAAAGAAGTGCCTTGTGAGTGTGTGAGTGTGTAAGTGTGTGTGTGTGTGTGCGTTTGTGCGTGTGTGCACGCGCCTGTGCGTGTGTGCGTGTGTGCGTGTGTGCGTGTGTGCGTGGGTGCGTGGGTGCGTGGGTGCGTGGGTGCGTGGGTGCGTGGGTGCGGGGGTGTGCGGGGGTGTGCGGGGGTGGGGGTGTGTGGGTGTGTGGGTGTGTGGGTGTGTGGGTGTGTGGGTGTGTGGGTGTGTGGGTGTGTGGGTGTGTGGGTGTGTGGGTGTGTGGGTGTGTAGGGGTGTGGGTGTGTGGGGGTGTGGGTATGTGGGGGTGTGGGGGTGTGTGGCTGTGGCTGTGGGTGGGTGGGTGGGTTGGTGGGTGGGTGGGTGGGCGGTCACGTGCGCGGGGTTTCACAAAGATGTGCAACCATTATTCTCTATGGGTTCGAAAATCACGAGTCCACACCAGTCACCAGTCCATATACAACGCATCGTACAGCCGTTCCCTGCCCCAAGCGCCCAACAAACCCAACCTGCGCCAGGAGAGACTGCGCCGTGGTGTCCCCGCGTGCTGCAGCATCGGTAAGCCCCTTGCGGCATCTCATTTTAATCCTATTCTGGTGTGGAGGGTTGACATGAAGGCAGGCACTTTGCATGAGCGCTTCGAGTCTGGGACCACGCAAGTTGAGTTGCTGAAGGGGTCCGCAGTTGCGATTCTGGTGCCGGGCTGGATCTTGCATTTCGATTGCCGGCCCTTGGATGTGTCCATCACGCTACCGGTAACAAACGACGCATTCAGAAAGCCCCGGCTGCTGCCCTCGGCAATGACATACGGAAGACCCATGCCGTTCAAGGCGCACTCTAGACCCTGAACGACAGCGCGCAGCGCGTCCCGAAGCCCCCAAAGCCCGGGCCTCGAATCACGAAACTTCCTCGAGACCCGGCCTTGTGAATACCCACATCTTCGTCGCTCTCCATACCTAGGAGTACGGGGGGGAAGAGTTTCGGTCGGCGGATGAAGAGTTTCTGTGCTAAGGTTGGCTTTATATAGTGGCGAGTTGCTGGATGCCGAAGCTCGGGCAGAGACTGGGCGGGGGGCGGGGGCTCTTGCTCGGGTTCTCTTCTCTGAAATGCCCCGATGGATCTGAAGCACTTCCCTGGCAATCTTCGAAACAAATTCAAGCTATTCCGATTGAAACGATCCTCATCCTCTCAAAAGGCTTCTTGCAGGCTTGGTTGCGCCATGAAGCAGTATCCTCGACACCTCAGCTTCGGGCTTCGTAAGGGTGTCTGCCTCTGCGGTCAGGGTGTAGAGATTGAGCGCATGACTCCTGCATGGTGGCCCTAGTGGGACTTCGTCTGCTTGCATTTGCTTTTATTCTGGTACGAAACACAGTGGCAGGGTCGCCGAGCCGCCCGAGCAAGGGATCCAAAGCAGCCAATGCCATAGCAGCCGGGAGGCCAGAGAAGTCCACATGGTTGGGTTGAGTCTTGGGAGTCAAGGGGGGCTAAGGCTAAAGAGTTCGGGCGCTAGGCCAGGAGGTGAGTGCCGAAAGTCGTGAGGAGCAGCAGGAGAGATGAGCTATGAATAAAAGGCGTCAGGCAGCTTTTGAAGTCATTCCCAAGACTCATAGGACCAGGTCGGAATATCTCTGGTCTTGGATTGTTCGTAGGGTTCACAGGCACGTTCTGCTTAGTTTTCGCTTGGTTCATGGTCAACTCGTCTTGGCGGCCGGATGCCGCTGCTGAAGCTTCGATGGCGAGACACACACAGAGACGATCGTTCCACCTTGGCTGGAACCCTGATCCCCCTAAAGCCTGAATCAGCCCAAAAGCCAGTGCCCAAGAGCCGGATTCCGTAGTCATCAAACATCGCAGGAGACCTGGCTCCTCGGTGGAGAGCAAGTCTCATCCTGCAAGTTGCCAGTTAGCGAAGGCCTTAGCTAAAAGGGGTCTAGGTTGATGGTCAAGGGGTTGCCACACCCCAAGGTTTTGTGCATATTTAACCGAGGTTTGCGCCTCTTTAGTGACGTGGCGCTTTGGTACTCGGGGGAGCGGGAGTTGGTGGGACCGGGCCCATTTGTGGTGTTGTTGGGGATGCTTCCAGTTGTGGGCTGTTCTGCCGGCGGCTTGTTGTTGGGTTGCCGAAACTCGGTCCAAGTCCTATCGACCCCCGGTTTTGAACCCTCAACCCCCTGATCTATGAACCCTAAAACATTAAATTACAAAAACGCACAAGACCTCGAAAGCCTGAACCGGCCCTGCAGTAGATCAGACAACCTTCTGAACCGCAAGCCCTGAGCCGCATCAAGACCAAACCGTCCGTGCCTGGGCCGAGTCAGAGCATTCCGCCTTGGTAGGTAGGTATGCAATACAGTAGGGTGTAGAGTCTAGAGTTCAGTTGGGTGCTCTTGTAATGTACGGAATTGAACGGCCTAGAACTTTGTCAACAGAGCGTAGGCTCATGGCGAATTCAGATAATGTGCTGACTTAAAGCCCTTCTGTTGAATAAACCTGAATTGAGTATACGGGCTTCAGCAAAAGCCGGGAAATTTTCCTCGGCTCTGCTCAGGACTCGAAATCTCCGCCCAGCCACCGCTGCGCTGAGCATCGCAGCGCTGGGGCCTTGGAAAGCAGAGCTCCTGTTGCTATCCGGAGACGGAGGCTATGCTACAAACTCTCAAACTCCCATGAAGTAGTGACTCAGAAGATTAATACACGCTGTTGGTGACAGCATGATCATTAGAAATATTGACATATTACACATATTCTTGGACAGAATGTATAGTGATGCTCTCTTCAAAAGAGAAGGTTGAAAGATTCCGGGTGCTTACGAAGGCGACGGACGATGGTGTCCAAGAGTGAGACCAATGAAAGCACGCAGAATGCAGCCTTTCCCTCACCTAAACCAGGGCATGCTGTCGAAAGGCCGAATTCACAAATGCAGGCTTCGCGAGGAGGATCTTGAAGAGACTTGCATTATACTCAATATACATGGTGGCCGCTGTAAGGCTTCAGAGATGAAGAACCACGCCATGTTGTCGAAACTCATTCGGATTCGGGAGGCTTGTGGCCTGGTGTTGAGAGTCTGGTCGCGTGCATTGCACGCGACTGTTCTCGCGATCCTTGCTCAAAAACCAGAGAATCTTAGGTCCGAGGCTCTAACCCAAACCCTAAATAAACGACCTGAAAAGGCTTGGGGCCCGACTGTCGCCACTCCGACCTCAGTGTCGAATCGCACCGAGGCATTGGCAGCATGCGTGAGTCAGGAGCGTCAAGGTTCTAGCGGTCGCGGAGTTTTGGAGCCTGCAACATGTCAACTCAAGATCTCATGGTGAACACACACATACAAAAACAAGACTGAATACGTGCACTTGTTTGAACCCGAAAACTGCACCACATACAGCTTTCATTCCGCGTCGTCAAATATGCAAATTATTAAACCCACGACACAAACCCCTCTTGAAGAAAGAATACTGCTGAAGGCGCCATCATAAAGAAATGTTGCATCAAGAGTAAGCCGCCGACAGCCTTTGCTGGGTGTGGAAATGGTTGCCTAGTCGACTGGTCTTGCATTCAGGAAACTTAGCAAGTCGCAATAATGATATGAGTAGTTAGTTCACCGAGTCACAAGAACTCTTTTCACACTAAGCGAGCGTTGGCAAGGTCAGGCATCGTTCACCGCACTTCATAAGAAGGCTAGAAGCAGGGTTATGGTTCGGACCAAATCTATATAGGGTGCTTCACCCCAAGATCACAGCTTGTACGAGTAGTCACTCATCACCGGTCCTCTGGCCCTGCCTCGCCCTTCGTCTTGCGCCGGGGCCGCGTCAGTAACGTGGCGCTGGGCGCGTCGACCTTGCTCGTCGGCCCGCTCAGACTCTCAGGGCGCGAGTGCCAGTCTCCCGTTTCAGGGTGCTGGATTTGAGACGGGTTATCGAGGCGACCAAGGATGCCAGCGTGTTGCCATCTGAAGCCAGAAACATATCCAGCCCCAACAGCTCCAAGGCACCTCCTCCTTGACACCTTCGGGCAACCTCGGCTGGAAGAAACTCTCTCACTCAGCTTAACTTAACAGCATGTCTTTTTTCTCGAGCAGAAAAGCGGTGCAGCTTCTGCATGAGCAATCGGCAAATGGCCAACCGCGAACCCAGCATCAGCGTTTTCACACCGTCGGCACCGTCTCGCTTCCTGGAGCAATCGTGCATTCATGGGCAAAGGCATAGCTGCGGTTTGGCAGCCCCAAAGGTCGGTGGCATCACTGTCACGCAGCCCTGCTTCACAAAGTATATCGGGCAGCGCCCGGTCCGGGTGGCAATGCACGCGTTTTTCGGCCATTCCCCACGATATGGTGGGTTTTCTTATAGGCCGCCGGGCGATGTTGTGGCACGCATCATCAGCAGCAGCGGGGCCCTCGCGACACTGGGGAACGGGTGATGGGGCGGGAGCAGGCCCCCCTCCCGTCCTTGTCAATGTTTTCCTAGATGGTTTGCAGTTTGAGGCTCAAGCCTCGGCAAAGGGTCTTGGGCGTCATCCGGTTCTACACTCAGCTGAAGGGTGCCAGTGCCACAAGCACGCATCATCGGCATCATCTGGCGCTGCATTCTTGTCCCAGATTGCACAGGCACGGCAGCATGCTGCTTCATTAGTACTCTCCGGCCCTTTTTCGAAACGTTGGCAGGGTCCGTCCACCATGCTTTTCTGAAATCCAACAAATGCAGAGCTGCTGGCTCCGATTCCTTGCCACAGAAAGCCAAGAGTGGACCGCATGAAAGCCTCGAAGTACTCTGGCCACTACAACTATATCAACCGACAAGGTGGATGCCTCATCCAGCTAGCAAGCTCTCAAAGCTCTTCACCCAGAAATCCTTCAAAGGTAGAAACCCAATTTCCACATATATAAGATAGGATGATTCGGAAAGATCTGATTGTTGTGCTGCGACTTCGACTTCGATCCCTACACCCCCCCCAATGCTTTGCAGCTTCAGCGGCCCGTCGCTATCCAGGGCCATCTTTCCGATGTTCTTGCTGCGGAAGCGAAGGAAGTCCTGGAACCAATCTCATTTTCGGGCTCGCGCCTTCGGTCCGACAAAGGGTGGGCGAGGGGAGGGGGGGCGGCAGCGGTGGCATATGGGTTCCCGAGCACATCTTGTCCTAGGTCTCAACAGTGCTGCCTCGACGAAATTATATGTCTCGAGAAGAAATCCTCTTCACAGACAGATATCTGAAACCTCCGCCTCGACAAATTTGATGTGAAAAAGGGTGAGCAACCTGCAACTCCCAGTCAAATCAGCATCTGTTGAGTATAAGTATAAGGACCTCAATGCCTCAATGACCAGGTTGGGGCCTTTGGGTCCCCGCTGGCGTATACCATATATAGTCATTGAAAAACTACAAGGGCCATCAGGAAACAAGATAGATCTCCACGACACCAATTCCGTAAGTTCAGAAAAAAGCCTTCTTGAGGGCACAGAACCGATGGCCGATGACCCACGACTTGCAATGCATATGCGTGAAATTTCAGGCTGCGCACCCCAAGCTCCCGCCCATACTGAAAGGATTCTGGACGTATGGTAAATCGGCATATTGGTCTTACAGTACCCGCATTGGGTTTATCGTAACTCTACTGCATTGATAACCGGCATGTACTTGGTCCATCCCTTTTGCCTGCGTGCTCCTCTCATCGAACTCTTGAAGTTCTCGCCGCCTGGGATTGGCTTCGGGGCAAAAAAGCGACATGGGTAGACTTAGGGATCCGGTTAACTGCGCAGGACCCACCAGATTGACCGTCTTGCAAAGTCAACACACATCCCAAGCAGAACCCGTCAGCGCCCCGTGCAGCTGCAAGTGTTGCGACAGGATGTGCTGTAAGACTCGAAAGCGGGCTTTGACCATGCCTACGTCCCGTTTCAGGCGAACGAGGGTGTATGGGTGTCCATGGGTCTAGTAACTAGTATTCGTGTCTTCCGCTGAGCAGATACAGGACTCGGGGACCTCGGGTCTATGCAGGCTCGGGCAAAGCACAGCACATCGTTCCCAGGGCATCTCGAGGCTAGTCTAAAAGACTGGAAATCCTGAGCTCAGGATGTGGAGATGTTAAGGTGTAGGGAATGACAGGAATCGCCAAGACTTCGTTTATACGGTGAGGAACATTGCCCGTGACGCTAAGCTATAGTCACACCATCACTAGAATCTCAAGTCCTACCCTAAGATAGGGTGAAGAAGACCAAGACCCCGAGAAGCCGGCAATTCGCGACATGTCAGAAAATGCTGACAAGAACTTCATTATGCAACAAAGGCTTACTTATGGAACACAAAGCTCTCCAGGAAACGCCTTCTACTGGGTCGCAGTCTGTCCAAAAGCTTCGGCAGGCATCCTTGCCCCAACCAAAAGCCGGAATTCGCCACCCGCACACGCACACACCCACACCCACACCCACACCCACAC